AGAGAGAGAGAGAGAGAGAGAGAGAGAGAGAATACAAACTGTACAAATTTGTACAAATTTTAAGCACGCAGTAATTGATATATTTAATCCATTAATTAACCAATCACATAATTTAATTAATAAAATAATAAATTTAAAAAACACTGGAATAACAATGATTTCATTGATTTATATTTGGATTTTAAGTTCATTATTTATAACAATGTTTTATTGCAACGATTTATTGGACATTTATATTACCGTAAAATCAGTGCCAATAGTGAACACCATTGAAGATATTTTAAATCATAACACAATGAACGTAGTGTTGACAAAAGATTTTATGCGATCTATTGCTAAAAGTTCACCACATTTTAATGACATAGCCAATGCACTCATCGATAAACATGTAAACAACGAGCGATTATCAGGAAAAACATATGATTTTAACGATATATACGGGAGTATGACATAAGCTCGAAAGACATGAGCTTGAAAGACACTAGCTCGAAAGTCAAAATCTCGAAAGACACGAGCTTGAAAGACATCAGCTCGAAAGCCATGAGCTCGAAAGACACTAGCTCGAAAGTCATCAGCTCGAAAGTGATTAAATTGATTTTACAACATGTTTAATATGAAATATAATCATTAATATGATTACTAAATTTAATAACACTATAAATACATCAAATATAAAAAATCAAGAATTAAATAATGAGCAAAAATTACAAAATATTATTAATTCATGCAATAATTTCACTTTATATAATTACCTTAATTATCATACTTAACTATAAAATTTAGTAATTAAATTAATAATTATATCTCATATTAAACATGCCGTAAAATCAATTTAATCATTTTCGAGCTGATGTCTTTCGAGCTCATGACTTTCGAGCTAGTGTCTTTCGAGCTCATGTCTACCTCCCATATATACAGATTAAAAATAGTTCAAGATATGATTGCCGGAAAAGTTGCTTTACTACCAGATACTGATCTATTAAAGACATGGGAAACAGTATTTACTAGATTCTTTAGCAAGCAATTCTCGATTAGTAAATACAAATATTTTAATCGTTTTTCATATTTCGTCGTATCGAAAGCGTTTCAATATAAATACAAATTTTTAAATATGTTAGTACTTATGTTTATCAATATAACATTTATGAACTCTAGTAAATATGGTCAGTCTTTAATAAATTAGGTTTCAGGGTTAAGACAAGTTATAACCGCACAATTTAACATGTCAAACTTTAGGAATTGTAAGAAAATTAAAGTAATTATCAAAACCTATCTATTAATTTACCTACCTATCTAATAATTTACCATTATGGAATTTATTGTAAATATTTTTATCAAGAATCATTGAGGGTTAGACCATATTAATTAGGGTTCATTATACTTTTTTAATGTTCAAATTTTACAATAATTTACTTATAATAAAATGTTATCCGAATTTGCACGATTACTTCCACCAAACATAGTTTAACTTCTAAGGAAACATTTGTTTTAAAAAATGTAAACGATGTGTAGATTATTTCAACTAAGACTTAAGATTTCAACCAATGATATTACATATAATGACTATTGTTATCTGCTATACAGGTCTTTATGTAAGAGTGACAATTATTGGCCTATAAATTAACGTAAATATTATTATAATTAACTTAATTAATATATATTATATGCTAGTGAAATAAATACGTAATTAATAAGTCTAGAGTTGCTCAAAAAATGTATAATGTCTATATCTAGAAAGTCAGTCGAAATAATTGATTTATTTATTAGTTCAATGTTTAACTTGTAAGCCAGTGACAGACAATTGGGCGACTAGTGATTTAATTGATTTAATCAAATTGCATACTTATTGTAATGTATTTATACTTTTGTTAATGTGATAATAATTATAGTCAGATGTTTAGTTATTAATGTTATTACTAGTGTTTTGTGTAGTTTTGTATTACAATATAATGTCTTCACATATAATGTCTATACTGTATAGACTATACATATTCTCGTCGTTCAGGCTTTCAATATATTCTATAATCTTTGTGAGAATTTTATCATAAATTGTAAATAATACATATTTTTACGCAAATTATAATAAATTATTTCTAAACTACAATTACATAAACACAAAACCAATTGATTAAAATAATTATGTTTTATTAATTAAAATATTTGTTATCATCATGATAATATTTCCCCACAAAAAATACATAAAATTACCTTTTATTTTGAACAGAATATACTGTGACATACAATAATAGTGAGACAAATACTCGACATTATTC